TTGCAATAAGGAACATTGAGTGATTTGAGAAATACAGCTTTGTTCAAATCATTAAATATCTGAAAGCAAACTGAGAAAGAAATATATACTATTATCTGTTCCAGACAGATTATTAAGGATAGTAGCCCTTTTATGGAGGGGTCTATTATTGGTCAAATGTTATGGTGATGTCTGGTTGTTGCAACATCTCCCTCCAGGTCTCTGCTCAGGCATCAGTTCTGAGGACGCTTCAGCGGCTTCAAGGGATTTTACTCAGCTGCAGCAGTCACACTGGTTTGCAATGATTACAGAACAGGTTTATTTATTTCTTCATCACAAGTCAGAGCAGTCCTGGGCACAGTGTCTGTCCTGTGATCGCTCCAAGCATTAGTCTGAGACCTCAGCACCACAATTACAATTACGGTAGAAATGATAATTAAAGAGTCATTCTGTTTCCCACAGCAGAGTTCCCTGAACCCCTGTCCCACATCGCCCCCAAMAACTGAGCAACAACCGCATTTTGTAAGTTTAATGCAGAACTAAAAGCACTACTTTACAAACACTCTATCATTCAGGAACTCATTTCTCTTTTAAAAGGTGGTAAAAAAAATAAAGTTGAGAATCAGGAAATRCATTCAAGTCTCGTGTATGGAAATTTAAGGCTTAACTTAAGTCCATTGTAATCCCTCTGCTTTGATTGATGACACGCTTGTGAAGCTTAATATGCCACAGCTCACTGTTAATACAACAAAGTGTGTGTCTTCATGCAAAGCCATGTCAACAACTCACATCACATATGGGCTCATTACACAGCCCCTCAGCTGTCAGGTGAAAATTTCATCAGTTTACTTTTCTTTTTTTTAAATATATCATTTTATAAACATTACTTTGGCCTCAAGTCCAGTTGATTCTTTCATGTTTAAAGCTCAGTTTTATACCAGAAGCAAGTAACTGTAGCTGCGTTTCCAATGCAAATGTGCACAAAACTTTGTCGATATTCTGTTAATGTCGAAAAAACACAGTTTTGCAACTGCTGTGTTTCCATTAGATAAGAAATGCTATCAAAGTCACGCGTGCATACATTTGTTCTCACGATAAGTCATTACAAACATGGCGGCAAAGAATGTAAACACATAGCATGTTGCTACCACGACACTAGCGCTCACCATCAGAGGAGACGTCGGCGTCTTTTATCGAGGCTTTCCAGCAACAAGCCCCTACTTGGGAGCGGCTACGTATGCTGTGTTTTTGAGAAATTGTAGTCTGTGAGTTTACTACTTTATTTTACTACTTCTGTGATATTACTAGTACTTATACTTCCTGTTATCTTCTTCGGTGTTGTCTTTTTAGCCAGTAGAAACAGCCGGTTGTTGATCACGTGACTCCTGTGATGCAAAAAAAGTGTTTCCATTGCAGTTTTGCGAAAAACACCAATTTCGATATAGCTCAAAAACAATTTGTCGAAAAACTGAATTTTTTTTAAATTGACGTGTTTCCATTGAGCAAATTTATTTTCGCAATTCTAATTTACACATTTTCATGGTCAATGGAAATGCTGCTTGTGCTACCTTCAGTTGTTAGGAAAATGATATATAATTAAAAAATAAACGAGAGCTAAAATAGCGCTGAGCTAATACATATATATGGTGATAGTCTCGGCGCTAATGCTAAAGCTAACAGGCTAAGCTGGGGTTCTTCTTCCATGAAGCAGCTCTGTTGTCCTCCATCCATATTTTCAGTTCCAGGCTGAGTCATTTCTACCTTCTCCTCTCTGTCAACGCTCTCTGGTTTCATTTAAAAGAGTCGATCATCAGATATTGTCCAAGATTAACCTTCAGGGTGGATATAGCTCGCTAGCAGCCTCGCACCGAGAACCTATCCATGTCATTATTTACCCAGACTGCTTTGCGTAAAAATAAAATGGCCCCGTCTGTGTAATATATTTTTAAAATTTTAGTTTAAAAATTATAAAAACTAAACAGCCTACAGTATTTTTACAGTCTTTATTTTATAGTTAAAATATATGTTTATTAAATAAAGTCTAATGTTACAACTGATCGTGGATCCCTTTAAATAAAACAAAATTCAGAACATTATGATAGACAGAGCACTGAGGGAACAAAAAGGAGAAACAATAAAGACAAGTTGATATATTATGTCCATTGTCCATGCATACAGAGCTTGAAGGCAGCCTGGAATGAGGTTCTCACCTGTAAATTCCACTCTGACGTTTGATAGGAAAAAGACCACACATCAACCTTATGGAGCGTGACAGCAGAGTCATAATCCTGTTCTTATTTATAATCCTAATTCAGATAGACTGAAGCATCCCTGAGGTAAAAGCCCATCAAACACAAGTTGCGCAAAAGTGTTTTATTATCTGTCCAACAGTTAACAACATAATAATATTCTGGATATTTTTGCAGATACACAAAATGTTGATCAAACCCTTTTCTAAAAGGATGTATTTCTAAAAATGTAATCATGGGATAAGTTTAATCTTAGCTCTTAGAATGATTGCAGTTTATTTATGTTATATGAGTACTGCTGCAGAAGATGTACAGCATTATTAGATTTTTTTTTATATGAAAAGCATGCCATTGGCGCAGTGGTCATCGATAATGAGAACATTATTCTTTTACAGTCATCAAGAGTTCAAAAGTGTCCAATAATAACTGAAGTTACAAGCTTTTCATTGATTTTAAAACATTACCAAGTAAAAAGAATAAAACAAAAAAATTTGGGCCTAGAAATGTAAAGCAGTGGGGTTTCTTTGGATTCCATTAGTTCGAGCTTTATTAAAATCAATAACCTGAACCCCCTTCAAACTCTGAATGATGGACGGCTTCACACACAGATTGCGTGCCCAGARCAAGCTGTAGGCTATATTCTGCATGTGATACGTCACCCCATGGTGTACCAAGCTGCATAGTGCCATAAATAATACATGCGCTTCGTTCTTCTTTAGTAATGACTGGCTAGTGGTGAGCACTCAGCTGGTTTTGGACATCACTTTATTTTTGCGCCCTTTCTTCCTCCTATATTGTTCTACTGCTGTGCACCCTCAGGGGCCAGCAAACAGAAAAAAAAAAAAAAACACCCAGCTGAGAGGGTTAAAAGTGTTTTCTCTTCATATCATTTTGAACTTCCTCTTGTTGTTAGCCCTGAAATTCAAAGTCACACAGCTACTGCTTATTAGTTATATTTCTGTGTGAGAAGAGCGAATCAGAACTTTGAATTCAATCATCGAACACAGAGGCAGAGCAGCTTCTTTCTATCTGAGCAACACTCGGTAACTTCAGCTGAAGCAAATAAATGGCTACTTTTTTACAGCCCAAATACAGCAGCACAATAACTTTATGTACTATAGAGTTAATAGGTTGACAGGTGTTTGCTGTTTGTTTGAGCTAATTTTGTTCAGCCCTGAGGCCACTGAAAGTGGACGTACCTTGACTGCAGAGTAAGGAATGTGGCAGGGGCGGTTCTAGGGGAGGGGCCACAGGGGCATTGGCCCCATCTGAGATCTGATTCGCCCCTTGGAGTGGCACTGTCCTGTCACTCACATGTCCTTTGCCCAAGCGTGGCTGCAGTTCCACTTCCAAACAGTAGTGGCGCTAATGAGTCAAATAGGAAAGTCCAGCATGAAGCAAGCTGACACAAGTCTTTTTAAAATTTGAATAATCCTGCATAAAAAGGTATTTTAACTGACAACGATGGCTGGATTTTCTCACATCTTGTGTGTTTGAGAGTATTTTATCCATGTACAGTAAAAATGCACGTAAAATTGAYAAGGAGAATTTGCTGTTCGAGTTTTTACAAGTGTTTGAACTTGTGTGACTGATTCAATTTATACACCTTACTAAAACTGGGGATTTGTGTGCAAGCATGTTGAACAAATACTTGGCCCCTCTTTGAATACGGTGGCCCCTTTACGGCCCCGTATGCTGAAAAATCCTAGATCCGCCACTGGAATGTAGCAACGAAAAGCTTTAGCACGAACAAGGATGATTAGTTACTTCAATGTGCATTTTTGCTAAAGTCTTTGGAGACAAAAATGGAAGTGAAGTGGTCAGTATTGGTTAATATTTAAAAGGAAATTTGTAACTTTAAGACAATGAGTTGTTACTGAGCAGCATTTCATCTAGAAATCCCCTGTTTTTGTGTGTGTGTCCTAGAAAAGTCTTGTGATCCTCTTTTTTTAAATTAGATATGTTATTCAGAAAACACAACATGTTTTCTTGTTATTATCAATTTGTTTTGAGGTAATTGGGCCAAGAGCATTTTGACATGTAGAGCAGTGTTTCCCAAAGTTGGGGTCGGGACCCAAAGTCCGGTCCCGAAACATCAAGGTGGGGTCCTGACAAGATTTTCTGAATTAATTACATTTTTGCCTTAGTTGTTACAAAGGAGTGAGATTAATGTATTTAAAATGGATAAATGTAGTATAAAAATATTGTTACTATGCCCATGTTTAGTTGACCTGATACAAAAGTTTATCATCCAAAAATAGCTGGGGGCACAGGTCTCTGTTACTGTTATTTAGTGGGTCAACAGCTGAAAAGTTTGGGAACCACTGCATTAGGACATCCTGGTATAACAGCTGTAGTT